GAGGTGTTGGTGGTTTGAGGGAGGTGTTGGTGGTGGTGTGAGGAGGTGTTGGTGGTGAGAGAGGTAAGTGGTGGTGAGGAGGATGTGTGGTGGTGTGAAGGTGTTGGTGTGAGGGAGGTGTTGGTGGTGGTTTGAGGGGAGGTGTGGAGTGTTGATGTGAGGGAGATGTGGGTGGTGGTGTGAGGGAGGTGTTGGTGGTGGTTTGAGGGAGGTGTGAGTGTTGATGTGAGGAGGGGTGGTGTGAAGGTGTTGGTGCACGGAGATGTGGGTGTTGGTGTGAGGGAGATGTTAGTGGTGGTGTGAGGGTTTTTTTCTCAGTAATAAACAATAATGACGCTGTTCCCATGACTGTGCACTTTTTTCTTTCCCGTCAGTGGTTACTTCTATGGTACATACATTAAATAACATTAATTAAATGATACATACCTGTGCACTTTTTTTACATATTTACTACAGGTACAACCAAGTCTTATTTTCTTCAGTTTCAGATGGAGAAATCATCGCCGGACAGTAAACACTGGCGACAAATAATGCATGCCTCATTCTCTGTATGCACCATATTACGGGTATTATTGGATTTATATTGTATGTGCAGAAATAACCATAAATTTTAAGGAATATAGTTTTTTATTTTTCATAATTTTTTAGAAAAGGGGTAAAAGCCACAAACGATAAGGAAAAGCCACTGGGGAACTAAACTTATTATTATTGTTTTTATTTTAATGGTAAATAATGATTCATGATACAATGATTCGCCTTACACTGCAATATTGGAGGACACATTACTGTTGTTATTCAAGGCTTTACTGTATAGCATTCTATTTTCTCAGAAATCTAAAATTCAAATGACTCAAACTGTAAGTGGACAGGAATTTTGCTAAAGATGTTAAAGCCTGGAAAGTTACCCTAGGTACTCGTTAAAACACATATTGTTATCACAAGCAATTACCATGGTCTTTTGGTTCTGATTCCCTAGGAAAATTTATTCATGCTGAAGCATAGTACAAAATAATAACAGAGAAATGTATTTACTTTTTGCTATATTGTAATTCTGTCATCTCCTGAGCACCAACCAAGAGTATATATGAAGCACTTACTTCTTGCTGCCAAAATACTACCGTGGCAGCGCCTGAGATGATGGAATTCCATGGATCCTCCTTTTTACGCATGTACACAAGAGAGCAATCAATGGTTGAAAACAACCCACCCCAGACTGCAAACTGCCCGCCAACAATTGGTGCCCGCTGTTTAATTGCAACCATGCTGCAACAAATCGTCTTGTCAACCCCTGTAAAAAAAAAAAAAAAAAGAAAAAATCTTTGGGAATGACACCTCTCACAATAGATAGTATATTTCACTACTCAACCATCTATATATACACATCATACCATGCACTTTCATCTATAATACCATATACTGTAGTAGGCTAAACAATGTATGTGCTATATTTTTTATGAAGGGGGTATTATTCTCAATAAGTTTCTCATTTTCATGGCTGTCCATAAAGAACACAAAATATGCACTTTATAAAATTTTGTTGGTCAGTTGGGGGAAAAAAATACTGTACCTTAAACCCACAAGATTTCTTCACAATTCACAATGCATAAATTTGTGAGTCCTATGCAAGTTCATTTACATGCCAAACCCCCAATAATTTCTTTACCTTTAATAAGTAAGTATTAATACTGTATCACAGTACAGTACATATCCCAAAGCAACAAGAAAACATTATTAACTGAGACCAAATGTGAAATGAACCTGTTTTTGTATGTTGAATATGAACTGAAGTTCTCAAACCTTTGTGAGAAGGTGAATCAAGCAATTAAGTTAATAAGTCTTATAAATAGGTCGTTCACACACCTAGACGGTTCAACCCCCATAATACTCCACAAAAAACAAGGTGCTTTCCCGTTTGGAGTACTCTCACCCCAAGATATGCTAGTCTATCAGTTGGTTGAAAATGTCCAGAGGAAGGCCACCAGACTAGTGCTTGCACTACAGCACTGCAGTTACCCAGAGATTGTAATGCCTGCATCTGTCTAGCAGCTAGACAGCAAGCTTATCTGATGCTATGACAGGCAAGGGGCGACTTAAAATAAGTCTAAAAAAACTCCCAAGGACATTTATCAGTTGAATGTTTATAGTTGGAACTGACAAATGCCTGCCCCACTAAATGGTCACAGCTTAAAGTTGAAGAAGCCACAAGTTCAGAAAATTGTCAGGACAAGCTTTTCTGGAAAAGGAACTGTAGACTATTGGAACGATCTACCAGAGAGTGTTGTGGCTGAGTGTGAGCTTATTCAAGACCAAACTTACCCAACACCAGCGCAGGTACAGATACATTCTGGAGCCAATACTGTACATGCTCGGTACTTGCCAACACTACATAACAGATATGAATGATTGCCTAAGCGCAAGCCGATCAATACCAACGAGGATGAAATAAAGTAAAGTATTAATGGCACTGCATCTCTAAAAACTAACATTAAATGGTTAATACTGTATACAGTCGGCCCTTAACATACGCGGGTTTAGAATACATGGATTTGTAAATACGCGGATTGCCCCTTGGAGGATTATTCTGTACATTGAAGTAATTGAAGTACATTCAAATCGCGCGCCATTCAACTCGCACCCGGCACCGAACGAGGACACAGCCGCTCCGCAACCTCACACACCTGCGCATAGCTCTCCTCACTCAGTCAGTCTCGCTGTAACCACACTTGTGTTGACATCAGCATTGTGGTTGCAAAATATTATTCGAATGTATTATATCAAGCAAAATATGAATAGAATATCACTAATACAGTGACCCTCGGTTAACAAACTCAATCCGTTCAGAAGGTCGTTCGTTAACCTGAAAAGTTAGATCTACGAAACCATTGTTTCAATGGGTTTTTGGATAGTGGTTCCAGCTCACCGAAAATTTCTAAATTCAACAAAAATGGTAGAAAAGTTCACTTACTTTGAGGTGTGTATGTAGAAGGCTCCTGGATGATGATGATGGGATTTAGAATGGGGGTGGAGGAGAAGGAAGAGAAGGCATTGGGGTGGAAGAGAATCACCCCATGGCACCATTTCACCCATAAAATTTTAGCTCTCTTGGCGTAATTCAAGATTATTTTCTTTAAATCAACACTGCACTGCATTATATATTGTCAATATGTAAAATATATTTCAAAATGACCAATAATTTGGTGGAAACACAGAAAAAAGCGTTTAGTTGAAGAGAGTCTCAAGCAAGATGTTACCTCCAGTGAAAACAGAGAGAGACTAGCTACCTGTTTGCTGTGTTAAGAGCTGGATGTCGTGCATTAAACTAGTCACTTTACAATTATGTTCAATAATTGTTAAAATGACGAAAAAATTGAATATTAAACTTTTAAAATTATTGAATAGTATAAACTTCTTGATATTTACTAAAATAGTAAGGAATTTAAGCCCTAGAACCGATTAATGTATTGCGGACTGATACTAAAGCTGGTTGTCCGGTCAGTGCAAGCAACATGTTGAGGTCGGTTCAGTAAGAAATTAGTTAACGAATTTTTGTTCGTTAACGAATTGAAGATCCTTATGGAAGGCAGTTCGTTAACCAAAATTTCGTTAACTGATTAGTTAAGCGAGGTCACTGTATAACAGTATTTTAACCGAAAACTACTAAAAAAGCTTGAGCAACATATCTTGAACATCGGAAGGTTAGGTAAAGTCTTTTGTTTTCATATAGTTTATCCTAATTTACATTAAGAAATGCATTCGTTTCAGCAAAACTACTATTTATTTCTGAGAATATGGAAATGTAATATTTTGCTGAAATAGCGTCTATCAATACGAGTGAAGAAATAGCGAAAAGCAATGACTTTAAGCTTTCTTCCGTTCAAAGATATTACCGTGTCGCTTTTTGAATGGTTTCAGTTAAAAAACTGTTGTATTACAATAATATTCTATTCTAATTCACTTGTGATGCAACAGTTTTTGAAACCATTGGCGGCGATTACGGTAGCATCTTTTGAACAAAAGCGAAAGTCATTGATTTCATCACGATTTTATCCCACTTTCCACTGTATCGTCACGTCATTTCAGCAAAAAATATTACATTTCCGTGAATGTAGTATATCAAAGCGCAATGTAGATATAATATCATAGTAATATAACAAAAGTATTTAACAGAAAACTATTAAAAAACAAGTAACATCTCTTGAACGCCGGAAGGGTTAGGTAAAGTCTTTTGTTTTTCGTCATGTATTTTATCCTATTTTGCATTGAAATACAGCATCACGTTTCAGCAAAACTACTATTTATTTCTGAGAATATATTCATTCAGGCACAGTTTAGGTAAAATATACATGTGTGCTGGGAGGAGGCTGTTTGGTGCTTAAGGCGATGACAAGGAAAATGATTTTGATGGATTTTAATGAAAATATTCAGAAAGACCTGGCACTGTCAAGGAAAGTGGCTGCTGAAGCTTCCAGGACATGGCAGAGGACGAGATTAGGGAGCTAATTGAAGAGCCGACACTGTGAGCTGACAGGAGGATCTACAGGAGTTAGTGAACTCAGGGACCCAAGGAAGAGGAAGCGAAAGAGGAAAGAGGATATGAGAAGAGGAAGAAGCACCAGAAATAATGTTGGAGGATTGGGGGAGATGACCAGGAATATTCAGGGCACTGAAAAACCTGGCCTATAGTATGGACCTCCATAGTGCGATGCCCTGAAATTCATCTTGAGGATGGATGACGTTTTGTTCAATACAAAAACATCATGGAAGAAATGAAAGAAAAGAAGCGACATCTCCCCCATCACCATGTTCTTTGATCAGGAGAGATTTAACACCATCAATCACTGGCGGCAGTGAGCAGCTAGATCTACGTCGCCCCACTTCACCCCACCCGTTATGGAATTGGTGGCCGATGAGCCCGATGACCCCGTCCTGTCGCCGAGGAGAGATGCAATTACAGTAAGTGAAATTTTTATCTCTTTTTAATAGCTTTTTCTTGCCATGTTTATTGTTTGTAAAAATGCACAGCACAGTACAGTTCCAGTACTGTACACTTAGGAAGTGGAGAGTGCAGTTACTCACAAAACATTTGTGTTTGTTATCGGCAGTAGTGAAGGTGAGGGGGAGGTGGAGGGAGGCAGAGGAGGGGAGAAAGCGAGGAGGAGGCGAGTTGGGAGAGTGGTGACCTTGGGCCTTGAGGAGCAGAGGCAGTGGAGATGCCAGCTGAAATACGTACAGGTGTATTCATTGTTTTTATAGCTATTTTTGCATTTTAATATTAAATACTGTACATTCGTTTCAACAAACCCATTTATTTCTGAGAACATGAAATGTAATATTTTGCTGGAAATGATATATAGTATTGATAAAACTTCAGGATAAAAGAAATTGTGACAAAAAGCAATGACTTTCTCTTTCTTTTCGTTCAAAAGATGTTACGTAATGTCGCTTTTTTAGAATGGTTTTCAGTTGTGGGATTATAGGGCTATTGATAGGATAGAATATTATTGTAATACGAATACGAGTACAACAGTTTTTAGCTGAAAACCATTGGCGATTACCTGTATAATCTTTGAATAGCGAAGAGGCTTAGTCTTCATTTTAAATCTTGATTTTATCCACTTCCTTTAATATACGTCATTCCAGCAAATATTATATTTGAGAATACCTATATTCATTCAGTCACAGTTAAGGTAAAATATAGCAGCGATGTAATATTTTAATGAAAATCACCCGGTATCATAGTTTTCTTTTGTTTCAAATATAATTAACAAAGATTGATGTTTCAAAATGTAATGAACAAGAATTATGTACAGTATCTATAAATATAAGCTTTAATAAATAGAATGCTTTATGTTTTTACATTGTCCTGTGCTACCATCGATGGATTTGGCTAATTTGGGCTTACTATGATGACTGAAAGAGATCTGCCCTGGCAACTGTAACCGACACTCACAACTAATTGAATTGCATTGATTGCATGTTTCCATTGTTTACTGGTAGTTACTGGTAAATATTTTTCAACCTAACGAAAACTATTACCGTAGAGTCGACTAATTTTGCCAAATAATTTGGTCTTGGTCTTAAAACTCGAACTACACACAGGTATATCTGTGAAATAAGGACATGGGGGGCCAGGGTTTTTTTGGGGGGGAAGGGGGGGGCAACAAAATATGCGGATTTTTAACATTCACGGGTATCTCTGTTACGTAACCCCCGAGTATGTTAAGGGCCGACTGTATACCGTACTGAACAACTTTAATAACAAAAATAAATATATCAAAGAAAACTCATAATACAGCAACAAACCCTAAAAAATACTAAATTCCTCGGAGTTATTGTTGATGAGAAACTTGACTGGAGAAACCACATACAGGCCATTCACAGTAAAGTCAATAAACAGTGCGGTATCATGTATCACACTCGAGATTACTCATTCTCACAGCAATGAAAGAAATCTATCACGATCTTGTTTACCAACACCTGATACACTGTCACACACTGTGGGGACCTCTGGCTCTTCAAAAACACAATTTTTGGTTACTGCAAAAGAGTTGTACAGACAATGACCTACTTGAAAAAAACAGACCACACAAACGAAAAATTTGCTATAGGGTATTGAAAATTTTAAAATTCGAAGATATTAACACCTACTGCTGTGCCCTCTTTGTTTACAAATCTATCAATCACTTACTTGACATTGTTTGGACTTACTTCCTAGCCCCCATTAGTCCCTGTTCACCTAGAAGTAAAGTAGGTACCTGTTGTAAATCGAAAGTTGTGAATTCGATCGGAGAAAGATGTTAGAGCTTCCAATAACTTGATGACAAAAACGATTGACTCTTCAGGCTTCTACGCCCTTGACCAATCAGGCTTCTACGCCCTTAACTCATGAGACATAAAGGCAAGCATGAACTTAGCATGCTTCCCTGTTGGGCGCTGTAAACACTTCTGCGCTTCACCTTACACAGGATGTAGAGGGGTGACCAATAAATAATAAAAAAAATAAAAATAAAAACTTGCTTGACAATACAGTAATTATTTCCAGTTCCGGAATAATCAGAGATACAACTTAAGGCACCCAGAGCTACTAAGACCACCCCCCATGCATTCCTCTCAGTCCCAGACCTCCATAAAATATCATGGTGTGAAGGTATGAAACAACACCCCCCACCCATCCGAGCAAAGACTAAGCTCCTTCCTTTAAATCATCTCTAAAAAATATCTATTGTCTAAGTATTAATATTTCTTGTAACACCTACTATATTTACAGTACCTGCTTTTATTGTACCATCAAAACCGTTTTATAGGAAATTATCATGTAAATAGATAAGTAATTACCATTGCAATAAACATAATTGCCAACTAGACATAATCCTGACTGCTCTGTCCTCCTGTTCAACCTTATTACTAAACAACCCAGTTGTTACTGCTCCCCCATTATATTTATGTTTTTCAATTCCACTATAATTTATGTATACAGGGTATATATATAAAAAAAATAATAATAAATAATTAAAATTAATAAATATTGAATGATAACCGTGGTAACATTATGAGATGTTCTTATTACCACCATGCTATTGTACTATACCAGATGATACTAAATGTTACATAATACTTCCTTGAGATAAATGTATAGTATATATCAGGTGCCTAAAGAAACTCAGGTTCTCAACTGGCTCAGCCATGTTAATATTGTTATTATTATCCACTCTGTATCTGTGTTTTTCTGGCTAAATAAACTGTTTCAATTCAATACAATGAACAAAAATACAAAACATTATACCATAGTTCATTGGTGAATTCTTGTAAGAGCTCAATGTCTATGGGGCCTCAACCCTAAATTCCTACTGGTATTTATAATAAGGAGATAAAAGTGCAAGTCATTCAAATTGTTTTATCTCAGAAGATTTTTGGCAGTAATCATGAGGTATTTTCCAAGAATGACTAGAGGTATGAGGCAAAGAAGTCACTTCAACAGGTATAAGTGACAAGCAATGAAAAATATAAGCACTGAATACTGCTTGATTTTCAAAGCCCTATTTACCTGTGTACACATAAGTCTGATGGGCACAAATTACATATCACTGTTCTGTTTTATCGTTTAATTTTAAAGTTGAAGGTCAGAGAGGAAATATTGTAGACCCACACTTCCTTACTGAAGTTTAATGAGACCAAAAAATTACAAATGTTTTACTTGGAAATTAAAAGTTTTAAAAACACAGTACTACTACATATACAAGCAATGAATTGTTAGAAGTCACAAAACAAAACACCGCCTTGAAAAACAGATAGCACTTAACCCCTAACTACAGTAATGAGCAAGCCAGGTATGTATACAGGCAGTCAACTATGTAAGAATTAATACAGGTACAGTACCTCAAAAAGTGAATGAGGAAAAGCTACTTACACTTGGAGCATTTCTGAAGCCTTTAACAGCTTGGAAAAGTCCTCCACCAATGACTCCCATGGTGAAGGCACCCCCACAGTCATCCACAATACGCCAAGGACTGTTGACAATGATTGAACATTAGTATCACAACCACACAACCTCTCCATATATATATATATATATATATATATATATATATATATATATATATATATATATATATATATATATATATATATATATATATATATAATATACACACACACACAGTGAACCCTCACTTTACGCGGTTAATTCAACCCACGGCGGCCCGCGCAAAGTGAGAAATGCGTAAAGCGAACAACATAACATATGGGATTAATTGAAATAGAGACCGGGCCGACCCCCTAACTCCACTTTTTCCCGACACAATACGTACGTTTTACTAAAAATAACATCTTAACTTTATGATGGTATTCACCCACACATAATTTAGAAGGGAACAGTCAATAAACTGAAGGTTAGGTTAGAAAAAAACAAGGTTGGGGTTAACACTTACATTAGTAGAAGAGATGGGTCGGCGTAGGGGAATGGAGGCTGGTTCCGAGGCAGAGGGCAGGCTGTTGGCCCTCAGGTGAGTCTTCATCGGTGTCATTCACACTTACTAGTGCCTCCCTGACAAATCCCTCAAAGTCATCATCACTGTCTCTGCCTCTGCCACTATCACTGGCTTGGGCTGGCTGTGGTGGGTTGCGGGTCGAAGAACTCTGTTATGCTTTGCTGACGGCTGGTGTTTATGTTGTTGTGATAAACCTTGATGTAGGGCTCCATAGTCTGCAACAGCTGGGTAGTGAAGATTTCATACCTGTTTACGTCAGGGTCGTCGGAAAGGAGGAGCTTGACTTTCTCAATACACTCGATGGCACCCCTAACATTACTATGGGATAAGCAGCGTTCTTCTTGGGATGACGCACCACCTGCCTCTTCACTGACGTCATCATCATCTACCATCTCACCGGTAGTCGCATCAGGATCCCTTATCACCTCCAGGATGTCGTCGTTGGTGGTCTCGGAGAAGCCTGCAGCTGTAACACTCTGCGCAGCTTCTCTGGCAAGGCCCACTGCTACTGCAACAGTCTGAGCCTCACCAGTCACAGATTTACTCTGCCTAACACCTGGAATGCCTTGCAACACATGTCTCCATGCGTGACGAACAGTTGCTACAGACAGCTGATCCCATGGCTCCACCAAGAAGTCCACAGCTTTCTTGACGTTGAATGTTCTCCAGAATTGTTTTAAAAGTACTTCTTGCTCTGCCAACTGTTGATCCTCGTCGTCTTCGCTCTTGCTATCGGTGTTGGTGTCACTCAGGTTACGCAACTCTTCCTTGGTGTTGGTGTAGTAGTTCAGTAGGTTGAATTTTTTAGCAGAGAATGCAGCTTTTACATTACAGATCAATTCTTGGTCCATGGGTTGTATTATAGACGTAGTGTTGGGAGGAAGGAAGACCACTTTTATGTTGGGGTGACGATCTAACAGTAGGGGTGAGTGTCCTGGTGAGTTGTCCAGCAGCAACAAAATCTTGAATGGCACATTCTGTTGCTCACAGAATTTGTTCATATCGGGAACGAAACAGTCATCAAACCAGGTGAGGGACAGAGTAGAGAACATCCACGCCTTACGTGCGGACATTTAGCTTGGTCATGTCCATGCTCTTGTAGGTGTGCGGCTTATGTGCTGTGTGGATCACCGATAACTTGAGCTTACAAGTACCGGAGGCATTGGTGGTAAACAGGACGGTGATGCGCTCCTTCTGCAACTTCCGGCCCCGACACTTGCTGGCAGTCTTGACAACGAAGGTCTTGGAAGGTAGCTTTTTCCAAAAAAGACCAGATTCGTCCATGTTAAACACCTGGTCGTCAGTGTACTGTCCTTCCTCCATAATCTCACGTAAAAACGGAGGAAAATCCCTAGCCGCAACAGGGTCAGCACTAGCTTCTTCACCACCAATGTTAATGATGGTGATCTTGTTCCTCTTCTTAAACCTCTGCAACCACCCAGAGGAAGCATTGAAGGGTTTGGGCTCTGCAATTCCCATCTTGCGTGACACTGCAGCATACAGTTCACGTGCGTACTCCTTAACTGAGCGCGTGTCCACCGCCATGTTCCGTCTTGCCTGATGAATCAAGTAGCTCACAAGTAATTTTTCCGTCTTGAGAAGCACCTGGTTGTGCCAATACTTGATCATAGAAGCACCTGTAGACTTTGTGATGTTCATGTGCTCCTTTATCTTGGCTGCATCCTTCTTAATTGTCGTGATAGTTGATTCGTTAACACCATGCTGGCGCGCGAGATCAACCTGTCTTGTTCCTTTCTCCAACTCTTGTATGATCTTATATTTGATTTCGTAGCTTAGGGAACGTTGTATCTTCTTTGGCTTAGGGCGGCTGTTTCCAGGTAAAGCAAGGTTTCTTTGTGGTGGTGGTGGTGGTCCGGTGGAAGCCATTCTTATGGAACAATGAATACCGATATACACGGTGTAGCCTGGAGGGGTGTAACTGACGCGGTAGGTCAAGGGGCTTGAACGCTCCCGCGGCGGGGCACGTCATAGTACTACATTAAACCAATCACAGCTAGCAGGGAGGGAAGTAAGGATGCTTTGCTCAATCACAGTCCACTACGTCATATGACCTCACCGATAACGCAACTAAGACACACTGCGCAGTCTTCTCGCGCCGCTTACACAACATGGCGGATGGCGGGAGAGGGCGGGAGGTTTGGATCAAAAAATGGCGCGGCGCGAGAGGACCGCCAGCCGCTCTTCGCGTAAAGGGGTACACGCACCGCGGAAAGTGAGCATTCCGGTTTCGGCAGGGTACAGCGTAAACGCGTAAAGTGGGACCGCGTAAAGTGAGGGTTGTATGTATGTATGTATATATATATATATATATATATATATATATATATATATATATATATATATATATATATATATATATATATATATATATATATATATATATATATATATATATATATATATATATATATATATATATATATATATATATATATATATATATATATATATATATATATATATATATATATATATATATATATATATATATATATATATATATATATATTCGTTTAGCAGGCATATAAGTTAACGAACTGCCTTCCATATGGATCTTCAATTCGGTTAACGAACAAAAATTAGGTTAACGAATTTCTTACGAACCGACCTCAACATGTTTTCGCTTGCACTGACCGGGCAACCAGCTTTAGTATCAGTCCGCCAATACATTAATCGGTTCTAGGGCTTAAATTCCTTACTATTTTAGTAAATATCAAGAAGTTTATACTATTCAATAATTTTAAAAGTTTAATATTCAATTTTTTAGTCATTTTAACAATTATTGAACATAATTGAAGGTAAAGTGACTAGTTTAATGCGCGGCATCCAGCCTCTTAACACAGCAAACAGGCGTTAGTCTCTCTCTGTTTTCACTGGCGGTAACATCTTGCTTGAGACTCTCTTCAACTAAACGCTTTTTTTCTGTGATTCCAAGCAAATTATTGGTCATTTTGAAATATATTTTACATATTGACAATATATAATGCAGTGCAGTGTTGATTTAAAGAAAATAATCTTGACTTACACCAAGAGAACTAAAATTTTATGGGTGAAATGGTGCCATGGGGTGACTTCTCTTCCACCCCAATGCCTTCTCTTCTTCCTTCTCCTCCACCCCATTCTAATTTATCATCATCATCCAAGGAGCCTTCTACATACACACCTCAAAAGTAAGTGAACTTTTCTACCATTTTATTGAATTTGGAAATTTTAGAATTGAGCTGGAACCAATTACCAAAAACCCATTGAAACAATGGTTTGATTTAACGAAACGACCTTCTGGAGCAGTTGGAGTTAGATTAACGAAGATCTAATATATATATATATATATATATATATATATATATATATATATATATATATATATATATATATATATATATATATATATATATATATATATATATATATAGATATATATATAGATATATATATATAGATATATATATATAGATATATATATATAGATATATATATAGATATATATATAGATATATATATATAGATATATATATAGATATATATATATGTTAGCGGGAGAGAGAAGTGGAGAAGACGGGAATGCTGCGTTTAGCACGTTAAAGGGGTAAGATGCAGTTTCTTAGAACAATTTTTTAGGGGGGGTCGTATGCATGTTTTCTCAGCACATGATGAGTGCTGTCTCTTTTAGGGGGGTCGATTGTAATATTCAGAAATTTCAGAGTAATTTCGAATGCCCCGCCATTGGCGATACTGAGCGTTCAAGGTCGTCGGAGGGAAGAGAGCGCTCCCTGCACATAGCGAGAGGTTGTGGAACTAGGCCTAAGTGATATTAAATGTAATTTGCCAAATTAATAATGATGCGATTCATGAAGTTAAGGGACTATTATTGAATTTGAAAATATTATAGATCGTTTATCAGTCTGAATAATGTTACGGGTGTCCCAAGGAGTTATTAGTTAGGGGGAAAATATGTCACGTAGGCTTAAGCTAACGCCTAGAGAGGGCACGAGGCAGGCTCTCTCTCAGTGACGGGGAAGCATTCAGACAAACAAGACGTCCCTGCGCGTCCGTCACAGAAATAGTCACGTGGCCTAGTCACCTGTGCTGCGCTATTGCAGTATAACAAGTAAGTCTCATTCGATCTCAGACAGGGTTAGATAGGGCAGTGGTAAAGTAAACTAGAGCTAACAGTGAGTTCATTTCAGGGTTTCCGCCAGAACCCACTTGACCGGAGTTGACCGGAGTTTGACTGCGTGAGATTGACTGCCGTTTGAGACTGCCGTTGATGATTGAGGGTGGCGATTGTCGCCATTGGACCGATCAGTGTAGGCCTGTCACTGTTTAGCGGGGTATCAAAGGATCTCTTGAGGGAATCTAGCCGTCTGGGTGCCCAGCTGACGACGGGACGATCGTTGGGGTCAGCAGCTCTCCTCTACCTCGGCTCACAACACCACATGTCTCGAGCAGCTTAGTGAAACCCTCTTGCTAACGGAAAGCTAAAGCTTCTCTCAACTGTA